GATGGACTGGACTCTTCAGAATCTGGTCTGCTGCCAATGTCAGCAGGTGTCCCAGTCTTTATGTTCTTCGGCTGGCTCTCTGAGTCTTTCGGCTCAGCTGAAGAGTCAACCTTTTCCCTTTCGGGACCTTTTTCTCTGGGCACTGATCCTTGGGCCGAAGCACTTAGGCCTTTCGGCTTTTTTGTGCTTGGCTCTCTTTCTTTTTCTTTCTCCTCCTCATCCTTGTCGTTATCTGGGCGACTAATGGATGGCTTGAGGTAGTTGCACCTTCGGGCGTCCTTTTGGTTGCCCTGTATCCTTTCGGGGAAGCCGGCGTCTGAGACATAAATCATCAGCTGATGATAAGTTGAGACGACCCCTTGGATCTCGTGAATTATGGGTCTCCCCAAAATCACGTTGTACACTGAAGGAGCGTCGATGACCAAAAACTCAATCATGACGTTCCGGGCTGCCTCATCGCAACCGATGGTGACAGGAAGCGTCACCTTCCCATCTGGATAAGTTGAAGCCCCATTGAACCCGGATACCGGATAGGGTACCGGCGTAAGGTGCTTGGGCTTCAGCTTAATTTGGTTGTAGGCCTTTCGGAACAGAATGTTTGCTCCGCTGCCACCGTCAACAAGGACCTTACTGACGTCGTGGTTGGCCACCGTGGCGATGATCACCAACGGATCCTCGTGAGGGAACGTAATCCCCCGGCAGTCGGCGGCTGTGAACGTCATGTTCGGCACCGGCGACTGGGGAGCTTGAATGTCAGCGTTGTTCACCTGGTGAGTCAAAGCTCTAAGGTGACGCTTGTGCTCCCTCCGAGAGTATATTCCTCCCGAGATAACATTGATCGGAGGGAATTTCCCCTCCGGTTTTTTACTGTTTTTCCGGGGGAAATCAAGGTCCTGCCGAGGGTCCTTTGCTAGCCTCTCGGATTCTTTTTTCTCGCGGTGATCCGCGATGTATTTTTTCAAGTATCCCTTCCGGACCATGTCCTCTATCTGGTCCTTCAGCTGGAAACACTCTTCAGTGTTGTGGCCCGAAGACTCGTGGAACTCACACCACTGATTTTTATTTTTTCGCTGATACCACTCTGGGAGTGGTCTCGGCTTTCGGTAACTCTGCTCCTCCTTCGTCACACTGTAAATTTTGGCGCGTGGAAGAGAGAGCGGAGTGTAGGACTCGTATCTGCCTGTGTATGAGGCAAACCTGTCCTTCTTTAGGTCGTTGGCCGAAGATGGCTCCGAGACCTTTGATTTTCCCTTTGCCTTATGGCCTTGGCCTTCAGACAAGGGTATTTGCCTCTGTTTCCCTCCCCCGGATTGAGGTTGGGTTTTTGCTTTATTCCATTCTTCGGCTCGGATGAACTTATCCGAAGCACTAAGAGCTTCCTCCAAGGTCTGCGGGGTATGCATGACCATGAAGTCTAGGAATTTTCCTGGCTGAAGGCCATTCTGCATTGCAAAAACAGCTAGCCCCTGGTCTAGCTGGGAGACGCTTGATGACTCGTTACTGAAACGGGTCAGGTAGTCTCGGAGGCTTTCGGTTTCCCCCTGTTGCAGACCCATGAGCTCTGCGGTAGTCTTCTCTCGGCGGTTTGCCGTGGAAAACTTGCTCCTGAACTTGGAGGACAGATCATCCCAACCTGTTATGGAGCCTTGCCTTACTCCCTTGGAGATCCACGCTTGCGCGACCCCCTTGAGAGTGGTTGGGAAATATTTGCACCAAGTCGGCTCGGATCTGGGGCAAAGATGCATATGAGTCTCATACGAGGCCACGTGGTCCTTCGGATCCGTGGTCCCGTCATATGTGATATGCGACGGTATTTTAACCGTGGGTACGCGCTCTTCCAGTATCCATTGCTCGAATGGTGAACTAGCGGGAAGCATAATGGCCTTGCCCTTGTTCCTGGCCGAAGGGACCGCGCTCCGCCCTCTTAGAGAGGTAGGAGTGGTTTTCGTCCCTGGCTGGGAAGTCTGGGCCTCGGCTGCAGGGAACGAGAGGCGACTACGCACGCTCGGTTCCTGGCCGCCGAGTCGGTCAAGGACGCTTCTGCGAGCAGTCTCGGGTTCCCGGCGAGTAGATTCTGGCCGAGAAGCTGAGCTGCTGCTCTTATGCGCTGCTGGTCTTGAGGATGAGGATCCTTTAAATAATTGAGAGTTCTTTTTCCTCTGTTTTTCATTTTTCCAAGAATCCTCCTCCCACTCTTCCAGTTCCCGGAAGGAAGGAAGCTTCCCACCGTCATGGTCTAACTTCCTCCGCTGATGCCGGGTATGCGGAGGAGTTTGATCACGAGGCGGTGGCATATTCTGTGCCCTCATTGCCTCCATGAGTACTGCCAGCGCTCTTGCCACCTCTTCCGAACTGGGCCCCGTCAAAGGGGTCCCCGGCCGAGTGTGGTAATGAGGCCGTGCAGCCGATGGTTGGCTTTGGGACACTGAATATGTCCTATGATCAGACTGACCCCTGCTAGACCGAGAGTGGTCCGGCCTATATTGAGAGTCATGCATTATAGGAGATAGGGAATCCTCCTTGTGTGATCCTCCCCCCGAGCCGGCACCCTTGGGAGAGTTCCGGTCCGGCGAGGGCGATGGTGTAGGGGTTTTAGGCTTTTCGCCCGCTCCTTGACGGAGGCTTTTGCTCTTGCGGTTCTTAGCCATGGCTGCTAAGATAATTGCAAGATGATCTTGGTTAGGAATTTGGCTTAAAGATTTTTGAAAGTCTTCCCCACAGACGGCGCCAAATTGTTTCGGTTGAAAACAATGGGACCTTGCCGAAGGTCCGCTGAAATGGAGAAGACTGGATTCGGTCCAAGTTGTGTTGGGCCGAAGGTTTCCTGCACAGTGAACACACGTAAACTAGCCTCGGGGGTGTTTCCGAGGAAGGCCCCTCCGATGCTAAAGTCAGTACAATGTGTAAAAGGAAGACACTATGCAAGAGAGTTTGTAGCTTGAGGCTTTTGTGTAATATTTCTGAATGCAAGAATGAGCATATGAATTGGAATATCCGTCGTTGTCTAAATTGTCCTTTGAATGTGTTAATATGATGGCTTTTATACCTCATCATACATGGAGAAGTTGGGCTTTAGCCCAATTTGGTTTACTTTGTGGGCTGACCTTTGACTTTTGAGCAATTGGAGAGTTGAACCTTGACCTTGGGCTTTTAATTGGATCATTTAGTGCTCAGGCCCAATTTTGACTAAATTGGACCCAAACACCCTCTATTTTTAAAGATTCGTTTTTAAGTTTCTGACAAATTAAAATATTTCTAACAGTTTCATACCCCATTGCATGTGCACATTATTAAAATATCATGAATTCAACGACAAACTATTTTACGACAGAAATTATTTATACACTACACTTATTCCCTTTTTTAATTTTTTTAAAAATTATTAATTAATTTTACTAATTATTAAATGAAGCTTGCATATTATGATGTCACGTGTTTGCTTTATGTTCTCCGATTTTCTTTTTCTATCAAATGTAAAAATAATAACCTGTTCAATGTTCACTCTTCTAACTACTTTTCTCCCACTTTAAGTTAATGATCTGTTTTAACAAAAAATTAAAAATAAAAATAAAAAAAATCAAACTTCCTTTTTTTTTTAGGAAAAATTACTAATAATAATACAACCTTTGTCCCATTCTTTTATAATAATACAATCTTTTAATTATTTTATACTAATACAACCTTTAGGGGGTGTTCATTTTAAAACAAGATTAAATCGAATTTTCGATGAGTTTTGAGGTGGGAGAAGGGAAGGGGATATTACACCCTTCCTCATCCCCACCACCAAAAATTCATCCTTCCCCTTTCTTAACCTCAAAGTCCACTGAAATTTGATTTTATCTTGTTTAAAATGAACACTCCCTAAAGGTTGTATTATTACAAAATAATCCAAAGGTTGTATTATTAAAAAAGAATGGGCCAAAGGTTGTATTATTTTTTTTATCAATTTTTCCTTTTTTTATATTTTATTTTATTTTACGAAACTTCCCGATTTATCGAAATAGATATCTTTACAAAAGAAAATAATTACTCCGTATAAACTAAAACTACATCATCACATTCCATCAAGTTAATTTACCAAAGTGTAAAAAATTTTACTAACTAAAATTGATTTTAAATGAATATTATTTCTTAAGGGATAGAATACATACATGGTATATATGGATTGGGGAAAAGTCTAAATTTCAGTCCAAATTAAATAATTTATTTGTAGATTGGAAAAACTCATGTTTTTAAGTGTATATAAAGTCTCTGAAAGGCTTGGCCATGTATGTACAAATTATCTTCACTTAATTTAGGGGAATAAAAAAAAAATCAAATAAGAGTTAGTAAGTTTAGGTTAAATAAATTAGACAAAATAAATTCTACAAAGTACGTACTAAATTAAATAAGCTCATATGAACTATAAATCAAAATCACATAAACATGTATAGAACCCACCATATGACTTTCCTAATTTTAAATTCCAACTTATGAAATTTGACATTGGTGGAAAAATAATACATAGCACAACGTATAGAAAATAATACTCCGTAATACTCTAATGCTTAAACGAATGATTCAGATTTAAGAGTGTCTATGCTATTTCTTACAGCTATATGTTAAATTATTAATTACCAGTGTTAATAAATCGTATAATTTAGTTGAGTTCATTGTTTATATAGGGTTGAAAGGTATAATCTTTAGTCTAGTTTTTGACTTAAGTTACATGTACCCGACATAGTTTTTCTAACCTACATTAATTTATCAAAAAACCTACATTGATTTATCTTTTGAAATATTGATAACTTGTTTGGTTTAATTTCATTGTTTCAAGCGTTCAAATCATGATATATCAAACTAGAGAGATTTATTGGATTTGCCAAAGTCCTATTCCAATTAATCAAAAACCCAAACACTAATGAAATAAGTAAAATTTCCAAATTTATATATAATATTTTTGTTCAAATAACCGGCAAAAAAAAAATGTTAATTACCTAGTAAAAACTCTGATATTTTGTTTATTCTTTTCATAGTATGTGATTCCTTTCTTCTCGGATATACTGATACAACCATTATAAATAGAAGATGCTAGACATTTACGTAAGTATGCACAACATAGCAAAAACCAACCAACTTCTATTACAATATTTTTTTAATACTTCTTTTGGAGGAGAACAAATCATGGATAATACAAGCCTAGCAATGATACTTGCAATTTGGTTCATTGCTTTTCATTTCATTAAAATATTATTTACTAGCCAAACTTCCAAACTTCTTCCTCCAGGCCCTAAACCACTTCCAATAATCGGCAACATTCTTGAAGTTGGTGACAAACCTCACCAGTCATTTGCTAACCTCGCCAAGATTCACGGCCCTCTAATATCTCTACGTCTAGGCAGTGTCACAACTATTGTTGTATCATCAGCTGAAGTAGCCAAAGAAATGTTCTTAAAAAAAGACTACCCTCTTTCTAACCGTACTGTTCCTAATTCTGTCACTGCTGGTGACCACCACAAACTCACCATGTCGTGGTTGCCTGTCTCCCCAAAGTGGAGGAATTTTAGAAAGATCACAGCCGTTCATTTACTTTCTCCTCAAAGACTTGATAGTTGCCAAAGCCTTAGGCATGCCAAGGTACAACAACTTTTTCAATATGTACAAGAATGTGCACAAAAAGGGCAAGCCGTTGATATTGGCAAGGCTGCATTTACTACATCCCTCAATTTGTTATCAAAACTATTCTTTTCGGTCGAATTAGCCCATCATAAATCCCATACATCTCAACAATTCAAAGAACTTATATGGAATATTATGGAAGATATTGGCAAGCCTAACTATGCTGATTACTTTCCAATCTTAGGATGTGTCGATCCTTCGGGTATTCGACGGCGATTAGCGTCTAGTTTTGACAAGCTAATTGCTGTTTTTCAAAGTATAATCACTCAAAGGCTTGGTAGTACAACAACAAAGATAAATGATGTGCTTGACGTTCTTCTCGACCTCTACAAACAGAAGGAGCTTAGCATGGCCGAGATTAACCATCTTCTAGTCGTAAGTTCATTTTTTTTCTCCATATATATATATATATATATATATATATATATATATATATATATATATATATATATATATATATATATATATATATTCTAATGTAATCTTATGACTTTTGACTACCACAATTTTTTATAATGGATGGCTGAGATTATTTGTTTTTAGATTTATTTTTAATTAGTAATTTTATTTTTAAAAAAATCATTTTTAATTATTTTATATATATGTTTTATTTCCTTAATTTTGAAAACATAAAAATAATTTCTGAAAGATTAAAATATATATTACGTATTTAAAATGATTAAAAATTAATTTTAATCAAATTTACGAATAAAAAATAAATTAAAAAATAAATAATCTCAGCCGTCCATTTTAATAAAATTGTGGTAGTCTAAAGTCATAAAACTACATTGAAATCATATATATGTTTTCTTGTGTACGTAGTTTCGAGGAAATTGACGTAAATAGAATATCATATCAGACTAGTTCTTAGATTCACGTCAAAGATTTTGACGAATTAAGCTAATTACTACAATCATCAAGCATGCATCTACTAATTCTTAATATTTTTTCTTTACCAATAATGAGCTTGTGCATGGCATAAAATGATTTTTTAAGAAACACAACTTTACATTATAAAATTAATAACGAATTACGATTCATTGATTGGATATATATATATGTGACAAATATATAAACCACATTTATTTGGAGCTTGTTAAACTCTGACCTGTCACATTAGATCAGAATTTAAAGTATACTTGTTACTGTTTTCATCTCAAATAATTGTTTTACTATACTATGCTTTGCAACAAAAACAAGTAAAATAGTATATTTGTTGATAAAAATTGTACGAGTAAGATTTTGATGTATATAATGAAAAAGGCAAAATAGTATGAGAAGATAGAACGCAACCCGTGCATTCACAATAATAAAACAAGAAAATTCCATTAAGAACAATTAAATGATTGGTAAGAACATTATTCTATAAAATAAAGAAAGTATACATTGTTTAATAGAATAATTACCCATCCAATTGGACTTCGGGAGGATATTACAGACCATGATAAAAATTTCGACAATTTTTGTTTCCGCACGAAAAAAAAAGTCAAAAAATTCAAAAATTGAACGCTAATATCCACCTTTTTGATAAATTTTGGAGCCTTTGGGGGGTGTCTAAAAGTCTTGAAATTCTAGGGAATACATCTTAGGGTCATATAATGTCGTTTTGAAACATATGTGATCATTATTTTTGTCATAAATGTTCGTGGTAGGCTAGAGTTAATAAATTCGGTGCCAGTTGTCAACTTGTAAATTGGTCATTTAAAGGAAAATTGAATGGTTCCACCCACCCAATTGGACTCCCGGAGGATATTAGGGACCATGTAAAACATTTCGGCAATTTTATTTTCGGGGCCCGATGTTGAAAAGAAATGAGATTTTAGGGGATACAACATCTCGGGGTCATATAATTCTGTTTGAAACCATAAATGACCATTATATGTTGTCATCAATATTCGTGGTAGGCTTGAGTTAATGAAATCAGTGCAAGTTGTAAACCGGTAAATTGGTCATTTAAAGAAAAAAAATTGGATGGTTCCAACTTAGTAATTGGACTCCTGGAGGGTATTAAGTACCATGGTAAACATTTCACCAATTTTTATTTCTGGGCGAAAAAAAGTTAAAAATTTCCAATATTGAAGGCTAATATCCACGTTTTTTAAGAAATTTTGAAGTTTTCGGGACCTAGTGTCGAAAAGACTTGTTGTAGACACCCAAATGTGTCTCCCCAAAACCAAACCCAGTGATGAGTACTTTTCACGTCGAAACATAATCGAATGAAGTGAAAGTGTGGAAAATCTAGTGTTGCGGATAATTTTAATTTCTTTTCTCTTCTCTCTGTTTTTGAAAATTTATTTTAAGAAAACAGCCAATCCAGTTTGGTTGGTCCATGATATGGGTCCAATATTAGTGTAGTTGGATGGGGCTTGCAAAGACCTTTCCAACGATATATTATAAGCCCAATTCCGATGAATATTGAGGAAGTTATGGCCAATTTACCAAACTGGGCCCGGTTTGAGCTTTATAAACGGCCCAATGATCTAGGGGAGCGCCTAATATGATTTATCATTCCTAATGCAATTAGGAATGGTTTTAGTCTTCTAGATTCTTCTAGAAGGTTCTTTTCACTCCTAATTCAATTAGCATTGATAAATTGACTTTTGTTGACTTTTCAGAGTTTTAATCAAAATCAAATAGCAATTTCGAGGAAATTATATGATTTTATCCTCCAGTACGGTAAATTTATCTGATTTTCGAAAACGCGTTAAAATCAGGCTTGGCGCCTAACCCCGGGCCTTGGCACCTGGAACCAGGCCTGGCGCTAGCCACTGGCGCCTGGCGCCAGCTAGCCAAGGGTGGCGCCAGCTTTGTTTTCTTCGCGTCAGACTCTGTTTTGTTTAATTTATCTTTTTGGCTGATTTTCTCTATAAATATCGTATTAAAAACTCCGTTTTGATTCATCATCTACATTCATTCATTAATCACCAATTCTCATCATTCACGAGCTCTCATCTACAATCAGTTTTAATTAGCGTTCTCTTAATTATTCAATTCTTTCTTCTTACTTTGCTTTTCATACAAAATTCCGCATTCACAAGATCTAGAAACACCTAGCCATATTCGAAGTTGCCTTCGCCCTAGACGTGAAAGGTTTTAATTTCTGAGGGTTTGGTCCCAAATCTCTATTTCAATTATTTAATTTAATTGTTGTTTATTATTTTCCTTGAAGTTACTAACGTGTGTATTTTGTTATAAGAAAGAGGTACGAGGTATCAAAGTAAGTACTTTAATGGTTTTAATTGATATTATGATGTAGAAATCATGTTTATATTGTTATTATAATATTCCTAGTATCATGTCTAGGGTAATTTTAATATTAAATATGATTGTTACGATGCTTCCTATGTTCTTCCTAATATTTATGATTGTTAGTATCATGTTAGGGTTAAAGATTTGATTTTTATTGCTTAGTGACATGCTAGGATTTGTTATTAATCTTGTTAGTATCATGCCTAGGATCTTGCTATTATTATGCTTTAATATTAACATGATTATTATTATGGTTAATATGATTGTTATTATGATGATTATTTCATTGTTATATTTTTATTATCATAGTTATATTTATTATTATGTTGCTTGATACAATATTTTTATTTATTGCTTGATCACACCTTTGATGCATGTTTAAAGGGAATTTGGTACTTGTAATCACGCTTAATAAGATATTAATAATCTTGTTAGGTTTAATTGTGATTATAATTTCAAGTGATCGCCAATAATAGTTTATTTGTGCATTATATTCAACCAACATAGATTAAACAGGTTTAGGGTTAATCCTATTGATTGTATGTTAATCAAAAAGCGCACATGAATACGATCAGAATAAAGTAGAGGCCTATTATTAGGGCAGGTTCAATCTCTTTTAGGTTGGATTTGTACCTTAATCCTCGAACCCTTATTTGGTTCTAGACCTTATGGAGTGGACGATCTCTTGGATCGTTAAGGGGTGTAACCTTCACCCTGTGAACGGTTTACAAGTTCCTAAAAAACTTGTTGGCGACTCTTTTGCTCTATCTTCTTCCCTTTTGGACGCCACCGTACTTTAGTGTATGATCACAGTGGGGTTCAAGCTAGTGGGATTTAAAAGCTTGAAATTATTCCCTACAGTTTTTGGCGACTCCACTGGGGAGGATTTCTATTTTAATTCCTGAATTTGTTTCGGCAATGATTTAGAATGAGTGGATGAGACTCGAAACGTTCTAAGTATTTCATGTGCGTAATTTTGATTAACATCATTGTCATATGCACAAAAAAGATCTCATTGGAAAGACCATCCATGATGAGTTAAAAACATAGGATTTTACACGTAGGAAATTTGAGAATTATCTTTCACAACTAGGACTGAAATAACACCGCGCGAAACTGGAAAATTTTATCGAGCACAGAAAGCTGCTGAGGCATGTGGGAAGTAGCGTCAGGGCCGGGGCCAGAGCTTGGCGCCAGTGTTTTAGTTGTAGCGCCAGACGCCAGTATTGGCGCCAGACGCTACAGTTAAAATCTGGCGCCTGTCTTTGATTGCTGGCGCTAATTTCCCCCAATACCGAGCCAGAAATATGCGTTCTAATTTCGACCGGTTTTTTCGTATTGTTTGCTCGATCCTACTTCCTGATTGCATTTTTTTTCTCACTTTTCTGAAACCCATATGTGTTCTATATATGGACATAACCCTCTGGGAATTCATGCTCCATTTACCCGATTGAACGCTCCGTGCAAAAAAGGGTACATCCGAGATGTTGAATTCACCAAATCATGGAAGCGAGTTTTTTCTAAAGCTCGCGGTGTCCCATCCACTCGCGCCAACCCTTCACGGTTAGGCTTCCGCGCGGTGCATCCGGACAATTAACCATGGACCCTCTATTGACTAAACCATATCCCGAACTTTAGAGAACTAGAGCCATGGTTAGGTTGCAAACTCATTGCATCATGTTGTGCCTACTTGACTAAGTGTGCATTATTTGTTGTGCATATATATTCTATCTTAACCGTTTGTTGACTTGTGTTGAGTCTAAAAAATTAATGACTTAAAGAACTTTGCCAATCTTTTTAAATAATTAATTAGTTTGAGTCAATAAAGTCTAATATTTTAATCGGAATTGACCTAGTACGACTTTAGGCATACCCCAGTTGATTAATAACACCGAAAACAGTCCCAGACCAAAGCTCCAATATTGGCGCCAAGGTTTGAGCTGTAGCGCCACATGATGGAGTGTAGCGCCTGACGACGGTTTTGTCGCCTGGGGCCAAGCTCCACAGTGCGACGCCAGTTCTGTTGCTTGGCCTACAGTTCGGATTATTGGTCGAGTCATCACCAAGGGTCTAATTAATCAGTCTTCTGTTTAATTCGGTTAATTTTCGCTGTCAATAACATTGTCGAGTCACTAATCGAGTTTTAG